CACTTCCATCAACACTAGGACAGAACAAGACAAGCCACTAGTATATAAACAGAGAGCAAACCAATAAATGGCTTTTTTTTTGGTGCGTGGATTTGAAAAAGTGAACAAAATTAAGTCTATAAATTCCATGGAATATCAGCAGAATATCAGCAGAATGTAGTTCCTGTATCAGCAGAATGTAGTTCCTGGAATCTGCATGTGTCCATTCAGAGTTTAAGCTTGCTCTCTTCAAAAGAAAGTTACTCCTAAGTAACTCACAGTGCAGCTACTAGGAGCACAGGACAGCAGAAGAAGCGAGGACTTCTGCTTCCCAGGAGACTGCTGTGACAAATCACAAAGAAACATTGAAATGGTAATTTTTCTGAATGACTCAATCATCAGTTTAAAGCATGAAAAGGTTGGAAGGGGCCTGTAGCATACTTTTCTCATATACTGGGACAATGGGACATGCCTCAGTGGTGATTTAATTAGAAATAACTGAAATGGTTTATTTAAAAACTGCTGCGTGTTAGGAATCCAAGCTTTACACTTTCCTATCAAATAGCATTTGATGATTAATATTTTAAATCCCCTCTTATTTTTTAATTACTTCTCCTAGTTAGGCGATTCTCTGACTTTTCAGGGGTATGTTTAACACTCTAAATAAACACTTAACTTGTTCTTTATTTCTTATTTTATTTTGGCCTCGTATTATCTCCCTTGGCTAAAATGACAATAAACCAAGGACTAATTTTAATGTACTATTCGAGATGGCCTGGTTGCTGGCATCTTATCTGAGCTGCAAAAAATATGGATTAGCAAGGGACTCCACATTTTAAAAACATTGTTTCTGCAAAGTAGGTGTTTTGCGGGGTCCATTTGCATGTCTGACATCATCACCTCTTTCTGTAAAAGCCATAAAATACTTCCAATCTCATTACGCTATTGAGTCATTGTCAGGAATTATTTTTAGTAAACTAAATATTGGACTATGCAATGTTCAAGCTTTCAGAAATGGATCTATTTTCCTTTTACATTTCAGGTTTTGCCCAAATTCATATTATTTTTATTACTGCTTCTCTAGTCAACCTTTTTTTTCCCTACACTTACCCTTCATGCCTCAAACTTCATCCCAATTCCTTTCAGCATCAAAACTTTTTCAGTTTCTCATTTTTGGATGGATGTACAACAATTAAGTTGATTTGGTCTTAGCATGTATTATACATGCTTTGAAACAGGGAACTGCATATCTTCTGTTACCACCAAGCCTGAAACTGGCATATGAAAAGGAGAATTGGAAAGAACTTAATTGGTGCAAGAAAAGAATTCATTTAGGCAATTATTGTAGGATAAGAAGGGGCAGAACCAGGGGTGGAGTTAAGAAAGTAATCGGTCTGGAATCATTGCATTGCCACAAATGATCCAGCTGCCTCCCAAATTCCATTAACTCTTATTTAGCACCAATTTAGTATTGACTGTTAATTGGCTAGAGTCTTGTATACAGGTAGCCCTTGACTTACAACAGTTTGCTTAACAACAACAACAACAACAACAACAATAATAATAGTAATAAAATTGGAAGGGACCTTGGAGGTTATCTAGTCCAACCCTCTGCTCAGGCAGGAAACCCTACACCATTTTAGATACATGGCTGTCCAGTCTCTTCTTAAAAACTTTCAGTGTTGGAGCATTCACAGCTTTTGGAGGCAGGTTGTTCCACTGATTAATTGTTCTAACTGCCAGGAAATTTCTCCTTAGTTCTAGATTGCTTCTCTCTTTGGTTAGTTTCCATCCGTTGCTTCTTGTCCTGCCTTCAAAGTTCAAAGTTACAACAGCACAGAAAAAAAGTGACTTATGACAATTATTCATACTTATGAACATTGCAGCATCCCCATGGTCACATGATCAAAATTCACACGTTTGGCAACTGACTCATATTTATGATGGCTGCAGCATTCCGGGGTCATGTGATCCCTTTTTGCAATCTTCTGACAAGCAAAGTTAATGGAGAAGCCAGATTTACTTAATAACCATGTTACTAATTTAACAGCTGCAGTGCTTCACTTAACAAGAATGGCAAGAAAGGTCGTAATATGGGGGCAAAACTCACTTAACAAATGTCTCATTTAGTAACAGAAATGTTGGGCTCAATTGTGTCACAAGTTGAAGACTGCCTATGTAAGCTTGAGCAATAAATCTTTTGAACTGGAACTTAACATATGATTCTGATCCTTTGCTCCTGTCATTGATCTACTTGGATCATTTGCAGCAATGAAAGGATTCCAGACTGGTTACTCTCTTAACTCTGGCCCCTAGCTCATAAGTAGCCATAAGTTCTTACACATTTCTGGTTCATGGCTAATTCGTGTGGCATTAAGTGGCGCCGTCTGCAGTTTTGGTGGAGCAATCTTTAAGCAGCTTCCTTTAGCAAGAATTCTATGCTGCTGTAAGGTGTTGCCATGTTAAATGCCATTTCCTCTGGTGAGAGATTTCTGTAGCCTAGGATGACCTTCCCTTGCAGCTGAATGTGAGGTTCAGATTGCAATTTGCAAAACAGCATCTGCCTGTTTCCAAGTTACTTTTGACAAAGAGACGACGGCTGCCTTTGCGGTGCCCTCGCTGGAGGCAAGACAGCAAGACCAGAGCAGTCAACGGCCCTGAAAGTCCCAGGTTGTTCCAAGTGATAAATATCTAAGTGATGACCTCTGTACCTGGTGGCTGCTTCGTAGGGGTCACGCTGCAAAGAAAATGGAATAGAAAACTGCCAAGTGTAAATGAGAAGAAATGCTTGATCTCTTAGTTCTTTGATGCCAAAGGGAGAAAAATAGTAAAATCTCTTTTAAGTCAAGCTTGACTCCTGTTGTTTTCACAGATGGATCTTTACAGCAGTAGGAAAGTGATTTGTCATTGCCTTAGAATCATAGGATCATAGAGTTGGAAGGGACCTTGAAGTCTTCAAGCCCCCTGCCCAAGGCAGGAGTTTTCATACCATCCCAGGCAAAGGGCTGTACTATTTTTTCTTGAAAACTTTCAGTGATGGAGCACCATCAACTTCAGGAGGCAAATTGTTCCACTGATTAATCATACTCACTATCAGAGAATTCCTCCTTATTTTGAGGTTGGAACTCCCGCTGATGAGCTTCCACCCATTACTTCTTGTCCTACCCTCAGGTGCTTTGGAAAACAAATGGACCTCCCTCTTCCCTGTGGGACCTCTTCAAGTATTGGAAGATGGCTATCATGTGTCCCCTAAGCCTTCTCCTCCTTAGGCTAAACATACCTAGTTTCCTTAGCCATTCATGATATGATTTAGCCTCCAGACCCTTCATCATCTCTCTTACTCTTCTCTGCACTGTGTCTATGGAGATTCTCTGTCGTCCAGGTCATGGATGTCCCAAAGGTGCTTTTTCAGGAGGCAACTGGACTTTCTTGTTTTTCTTTGAAGGTGTTTCACTTCTCATCCAAGAAGCTTCTTCAGCTCTGACTGGATGGTGGGAATGGAAGGATTTATATTCTTTGCAGAAAGCTGGTCATCTGCATTCTTTTAGATAGCCGTTGAGGCCATTTGGAGGTTTAGACACAGATAAACTTCAAATGGCCTCAACTATTCTCTAAAAGAATGCAAATGACCAGCTGTCTACAGGAATATAAATCTTTCCATTCCCCACCATTCAGTCAGAGCTGAAGAAGCTTCTTGGATGAGTAGTAAAACGTCTTCAAAGAAAAACAAGAAAGTCCAGTTGCCTCCTGAAAAAGCACCTTTGGGTCTTCTCTGCACTCTTTCTAAGCCCTTTATTATGGCGACCAAACGTGGATGTAAATATAGCTTCATCCAGGGTGGTCTAAAGCAGTACTATCATTTCTCATGACATTGATGCTATGTCTCTTAGAGCTGCATTGGGGTTTTGTTTTTGGGGGGGCGTGTTGGCAGCTGCAGCACACTGTTGACTCATACTTAAGTGGTAGCCCACTAAATGTCTATGGAGATTTTCATCATCCAAAGTCATTGTTGCCCCAAAAGTGCTGTTCAAAAGGCAACTTGTTTTTTTCCTCTTGAAATAGTTTCATTTTCATCCAAAATTAAAAAGGACAATTTATATCAAATGTTCAAACGCTAGTGTTACACATCTGGCAGCATGAATTTAAATAATGGTTGTACAAGCTCTTTTGCCACAGTTGTTAAGCAAATCACTGCAGTTAAGTAAATCACATGGGCATTAAGTGAATTCCAACTTATAACAGAATAACTGAGTTGGAAGGGACCTTGGAGGTCATCTAGTCCAACCCCCTGCTCAAGAAGGAAACCCTATACCAGGGGTAGGCAACCTTGGCCCTTTTATGACTTGTGGACTTCAACTCCCAGAATTCCTGAGCCAGCATGGCTCAGCTTGAAAATCTCCCTTTCCCCTCAGCATGGCTGGCTCAGGAATTCTGGGAGTTGAAATCCACGAGTCATAAAAGAGCCAAGGTTGCCTATGCCTGCCCTATACCATTTCAAACAAATAGTTGTCCATTCTATTCTTAAAAACTTCCAGTGTTGGAGCATTCACAACTTCTGGAGGCAAACCGTTCCACTGATTAATTGTTTTAACATCAGGAAATTTCTCCTTAGTTCTAGGTTGCTTCTCTCCTCAATTAGTTTCCATCCGTTGCTTCTTGTCCTGCCTTCAGGTGTTTTGGAGAATAGCTTGACTCCCTCTTCTTTGTGGCAGTCCCTGAGATATTGGAACACTGCTATCATGTCACCCTGAGTCCTTCTTTTTACTAAACTAGACATAACCAATTCCTGCAATTATGTGTGGTTCACAACTCAGTATGTTTGTAACTTTGAATGGTTGCTAAACGAATGGTTGTAAGTCAAGGATTACCTGTATCCCTTTGGAAGAAAGAAAGCTTGTTCCTAAGAAATTTTCTTTTCAGTAGGAATAGTTCTTGATAGATTTGCACTTAGCGAGTGAAAGAATAAAATACTATTTTGCATCATGCATTCTTGTCTCTCTTTTTTTTTCTTTTGTTTCCAGAAAGTTCAGCAATACACAGTCATTGTTCAGGCCACCGATATGGAAGGAAACCTTAACTACGGTCTCTCGAACACAGCGACAGCAATCATTATGGTGACAGATGTGAACGACAACCCACCCGAATTCACTAGCAGCACCGTAAGTATCAATACATCAGCGCAATGATCTATGGACACACAACGTGTTTGTAATTCATGGACATTTGATATGACTTGTCTCTTGTTTGCTGGCTTGGCAGATAGGGAGCACTTGACAGATAACGGAGTAACGAAGGCTTTCAGCAAATAAAAATGGAGAGAGGCTGTGAAAAAATGATTCATGACCAAACATAGCTATCTGGCTCCCACTTTGTTCTGAGGCAGTGAAAAATGGCGGGTAGGGGCCAGCAGAGGGATGGTGCTAAAAAATATCACAGTCTTTGCTTCTCCGTGACAAGAGTTGATTCTTCCTCTCAGGGTGTTTCCACAGAAGACATCGTCTCTTTTGCACTATGTGTGTGAATGGCTGAAGCTTGTTAATGCAAGTTATTAAAATGCCAGGCCAAAGCAAAGCATAACAGCTTTAGTCAAGGGAAGCTTTACTTCGTATTGTACAGGTTTGGGAGAACCAATATGACCTACGATTGTGGCTCAGTCAGCTTACTTCAAGATGCACGTCAAAACTTGAGCCAGTTGAATAGCTTGTCTCCCGAAGGTGCACAGAGGGCATGGCGATTTCCAGAAATTATAATACACAAAATCTTTATTTGTTCATATAGCCACCCAACTCACTCATGGTGACTTCGGATGGCTTACAGAAGTAAAACTCCAAATACAAAACTCAGTGAAACCTCACTGCCCCTCTGGTAATAACAATCGAACAAACCACGTGATGGGTTCCATATCATGCTGGGGTTCCCAGGCCTGCTGGCAAAACCAGGTCTTTAGGGCCTCAGGAAAGATTATCAAAGTGGGGGACAATCTTTTCTTTGCAGGCATGATATTCTACAGCAGTGTTTCTCAACCTTGACAATTTTAAGGCATGTGGACTTCAACTCCTAGAATTGCTGGCTGTGGGATTCTGGGAGTTGAAGTCCACATGCCTTAAAATTGTCAAGGTTGAGAAACACTGTTCTACAGGGAGGGAGCTACCACATAGAACAGTGGTGGCGAACCTATGGCACGGGTGCCAGAGGCGGCACTCAGAGCCCTCTCTGTGGGCACGCACGCCGTCGCCCCAGTCCTAGGCCTTCAGTTGGGTTTTATAAAACCTTTTCACTTTAGGCCTCTGCCACCGTGTGCAAAAAAAAAAAAAAGGTTCAATCAATCAGTCAATTTCAACTTCTTGCAGGAAAAAAAAAAGATCTTGCAAAGTTGGAATTGATTGATTGAACTTTTTAGTCCCAACCAGTCTGCCGTTACCATCGAGCCACGCCCACCCAATGGGGCACACCCAGCCAATGGCCACACCCACCCGGCACCCGACGATGCATAAGTGGGTTTTGAGTTGCAGTTTGGGCACTCGGTCTCTAAAAGGTTTGCCATCACTGACATAGAAGGTCCTTCTTCTTGGTCCCATTAGATGTAATAGAATAATAACAGAATTTACCACAAGTGAGCCCAAAATTTCCGTTGCTTAATGAGACAGTTATTAAATGAATTTTACCCCATGTTATGATCTTTCTTGCCACAGTTGTTAAGTGAATCACTGCAGTTGTTAAATTAGTAATATGGTTGTTAAATGAATCTGGCTACCCCAATGACTTTGTTTGTCAAAAGGTCGCAAAAGGTAATCACATGATCCTGTTGAAAGAAAAATCTTCATCAGGGTCCAGTCCAAGCCGGGAATAAACAAAATGGAGACTGCTTAAGAAAGAAGGTTGTAGTTTATAGAAGAGCAGAGCCAGACAGAAATGTGGCTCTGGGAAAGCTGACCACATGTAGCTGGGAGTGGTGGGTTTGTATACCTTCTTGGGCTTTTGTGTTTGGAGTTGTTCCTGTGGCACGAACTTTGACCTGAGGTTCAGTGTGCCCTTCTGGTATTGTGATGTTGGTGGGTTAATCCTATTATGTCTTAAAGGCCATGTCCTGCTTTCCTGGGGCTGGAGCTAATGGCTACTTCCTGTATTGGATTTCTTGGGTGAGGGGGTTGCTGGTTCTAATTCTATCACTCTGCTGTTGTTAGCTGTCAGTTTTGCTGCAAGGGATTTCAAAATATTTTGTCTTAAATGGGTTTCTGCAGGCAGTATTTGCTCATGAATGGGGCCTCAGACCTTCTGAATGGGATTATCAAATCTGTATTTCTACAGACCTGGCTTCTGCCTAGTTTCTGCTTGGGGCTGTTAGGAAAAACTGGGCCTACTTTTCTGCCTTTAAGATCCTTTGGGGAAATATAATATTCTGCCTTTTTTAATATTCCCCAAAATATTTCCTTCTGGGGGGGTGACCTCCCACAATCCCAAAACATTGCAACTGTCATAAATATGAGTCGGTTGCCAAGTGTCTCAATTTTGATCACGTGACTAGGGGGATGCTGCAATGGTCATAAGTGTGAAAAACGGTCATAAGTCATTTTTTCAGTGCCATTGTAACTTTGAACGGTCACTAAATGAACTGTTGTAACTTGAGGACTAGCTGTATTTTGCTATAAAACTTCCCACAATTACCATGAAAGGAAATTGGCCTTTGGAAATTATGGAAGAACTTTCCCTTCTGAGAAGAAAGCACATTCCAGAGAATGGCAGTGTTAGAAATTCTGTTTATATAAAGCACCACAGAGCAAACAAAGAGTATAGTCACCATGTGTTTTACTCCTCAACTATATTACTATAACAGGAAACAGGAAACTCTACTTGGCATAAAAGAGAATATACCATAATCCAAACTTGTAAATACTGCCATCTACTGGTTGAATACTACTGTCGTTGTTGCATAGAAATACATTCCAACAATGAATTCTAACAGGTAGAATGTTCTATGATGGGAACAAAGTTGTGCACACAATACCTTCTGAAGGTAGTATTTCAATGATCTAAATAACCCTGTCACCTCACTGGCTCTTACTATGGAGAGTAAAAGCTTTTCTTTTGTGTCACCCCTCCTGACTCTGAACTTCCTTGAGTGTCTATATTGCATGCAGTAGTTGGAAGGTGAGAGGGCAAGCAGTTTCAAATGACAGGTTAGCAAGTATCCAAGGAGTTTCCTTTCTACTTTTATTTGAGTGAAATGTGGTGACATCTAGTGGTTATGATTTTTTCATATTTACTGCACGTTTGTACATTGTTGTCAAAGATACTGCACTAATATATAGAAGTTAAAATGTTTATCAAGGGTCTGTGGAAATCCATCTACTTCTTCGGTGAAACAAAAGGAAAGTTTACTCTTGCTAATATTGGAAGGAAGGAAGGAAGGAAGGAAGGAAGGAAGGAAGGAAGGAAGGAAGGAAGGAAGGAAGGAAGGAAGGAAGGAAGGAAGGATCTACAGAATTAAAAAGGACAATTTATATCAAATGTACAAACGCTAGTGTTACTCATAGGACTGTATGAATTTAAATAATGGTTGTCTCCCAGAAAACAATGAAATATTTTTAACATGAATTTTACTGCTTTCAGTGTAAAATGTACAGCTAATTATTTCAAATATTGAAAATCTGAAGTCTCGTCTATGGTATTTTGAGACACTTTATTCCATTGTCCCAGCCCCTAAAGATCCCTGTCTTTCTCAATTAACTTTCAATTATTTACTTTCCATAGAAAATATCTTGCCTGATCAAGCCATCACTAGACATTGCTTTATTTTTGCATGCAAGGGATAACGGAAGACTGGGTTCCACCATCAGAATGACACCAAATAAAATTCCTAGGAATATATTACACAATGCACTACAGCCTCTGGATTCAATGGGACACAATAGCATTTTCCAAATACCTGAAAACCTACCACAGAGAAAAGGGCAGGCCCCTGCTCCTTGCTACCACAGGGACCCCCTTAAAATTAAAGATTTTGGTTGAAGGTTCATACAAAATTTCTTTCCTGTAAGGGCAGTTAAGTAATAAAATCACGTATAAGGATGTGAATTCTGTCCTGTTGGACATTTTCAAGCAAAGCATGGACAGTCACCTGCTAGAGATTCAGTAGGTACAACTAGTCCTCTACGTATGACCACAATTGAGCCCAAAATTTCTGTTGATAAGTGAAACATTTGTTAAGTGATTGTTCTCCCATTTTACGACTTTTCTTGCCACAATCATTAAGTGAATAACTGCAATTGTTAAGTTAGGAACGCGATTATTAAGTGAATCTGGCTTCCCCGTTGATTTTGCTTGTGAGAAGGTCGCAAAAGGGGATCACATGACCACCGGGACATTGCAGCCGTCATAAATATGAGTCAGTTGCCGAGCATTTAAATTTTGATTATGTGACCATGCTGCAACAGTTGTAAAGTGGGAAAAACTATCCAAAGTCCCTTTTTTCAGTGCCATAATAAATTTGAACAGTTCACCAAATGAACTGTTGTAATTTGAGGACTACCTGTATACACGCTTTCACTGAGAAGGACTTTGGACTAGATTCTGCAAGACGTTCTCCAGACATTTATTCAGGTTGGTGGAGAACTTACCTGCACTGAGAAGAGAATATGGCTTTTAGACTAATATGGGATATTATCATGTAAGGCGCTAATACATTCAACTTTTTACTTTTCTCTGGACTAAAAATGCAGAGATAATCTTCTAAATAATGAATTCCTGTCATGTATCAATGCGTCCCAGCACACAAGACTGGCAGTTCTATGCCCATATTGTTTTGTTATTCTTGAAGCAAATAATGCAAGTATTAAAACCGTAAGGAAAACATAGGAAGCCTTTAGAAACTAAATAGTATCACTGGACAAGCAGCTGTAGAATGGAATTTTGAAGCTGAAGTTCAACAGGTCAATAGGTCTAACCAGGATAGAGACCATCTGAGAAGGCTGGCTTGATTTTCATGATAAAAAAAAAAAACATTCACGATATAAATATGCAAAATTAATAGAAAAGCAAAGGCAATTTTGAGTGCCAGAATGGACAGTGCTAGACTTGGTCAATTCTTCTTGCAAATTAATGGATCAACACTCTGACCTTGCCAGTTGGCTTCTCACAAAGGCAATGAAGGAAGCCTTGG